CTCTTCCGGTTGACTTATCTGAATTGTCGGCTGATTGCGACGAACAAAAATACCCACCAAAATCCTCCCACTCATAAGTAACGCAAAGCTACAGTTTGTGGGATTCTCTTCCACAACTTCGCTGTGGCTTAGTCGCGCAACGTTTTATCAGAGGTCGGCTCAGTCAAACCACAGTTACCCATAAAATACTGAAGAAGCCAGAAGAATAATCAACTGCAGTGAAAGCGTCCGCTGTGATGGAATGTTAACCACCGGTAGTCGATGTCGAGATACTATCGCGACGAGAATGGACCTTAACGCGGTGCGATGGTTTGCGTGCCTCAGCGATCCATTAGGCTATGCTGAGTGGTGCTTTTGCACCTTCAGAGCCACTCATACAAGATTGGTCAATGGTTAGAGGCCTGACAAACTCAGTCTCCTGGCCCTCCGGGTTAGGGGTTGGAGTGAGGGTGGCTCATTACTCTATTAAACGGACTCTGTAGTCCAGTGCCAAACCCCGGTACCTTGCGATCAAATTTTTGAAACAAAGGCTTCGGTTGAGAACCCTAATCGTTCTCCTGTATAGGCCTGAGCAAAGTGACAGTATCCTGCCCACGCAAGTCTATAAATTTTCTGGATGCTCTGGCCGTTGTAGAGGATAAGCAATGGCGCCCTATCTGCTGCATCAAGCAGGGTGGATAGGGGTAAGGATGTTACTGTCCAAGCCTTCCCAGCATCTTATCAACCCACTTGCGCTCTTTCATCCTCATCGTCCCGCTCCAACTACACTTTTATCTCCCCTGTTTCAACACTAATTATTGGCCCACCCTTCATCTTGGTTCAGTAATCGTTCGTCTTTTAGTTCCGACTCACACGCAATCGCAGGGCGTCGCTTCGGTCCAGTCGACAAGTTCATGTCCAGCCAAACGGACGTCAGTTCATCTGCTTCTATTTGGAGCCTTGGATCCTCACTAAGACTGGCATACCTCAATGTGCGCACTTTGTTGCGAATTGGCCAACAGACAATAACATTCAATATCTGCTGCTTGTAAGAAACTCGCCTGCAAGATTCGAGTTCTAATAGTACCCAACGAACCCCAATGAGCGACACTGGCGGAATTTTTCCATTGCACTAGTCCGGAGATAAAGCGACTTCAAATGCTAGCCAAGTCGGTGTGTGCATTGCTCTTAGACCCCGGGCTGAAGCTGCCCTGATTGGTTGGATACCAATGAACAGCCGGACGTGCGCTGACAGATTGGTTGACTTGTTCAAAGCATCGAAGCCGTATGTGGAAAATCGGTTCCTGTTTGTTATTGCGGCCTATGCGCCCACAAACTGTAGCGCTGACTCAGTGAAAAACGACTTCTATCACTAATTAAACGCACTCTTCCGTCACAGCAAAAGTACGCAGACTGTGGTGCTTGCTGGTGATTGGAACGCCCAAGTTGAAAAACTGTCCATTGATGAGCTTCATCTGGAAGGCCAACAAGGTGTAGACTTCCGTAATAATAACAGTGAGCGGTTGTTAAACCTGTGTGTGCTCGTCTCTTGCGAGCACTAACTTCCGACACAGCTCACGTAGAAGTGTGACATGACGCCCACCAGCCTCGGAGCAGCTATGCACGCAAATCGATCACATTGCGATCAGTTAACGCTGGAGAGGACGCATTCAAAACTGTCACTCGATTTAGAGCACGAGCGTCGACTCTGAGTACGCATTGTTTGCGCCGACCACCGGGTGTATTTCGGTGGATGTCCGCAACGGCGCTGTGGACGCATGGATATTTGCCAGCTAGCGAAGCCAGATGTTCTGGATGCGTATCAAAGTACGCTGGCTTCTGAGCTGAGTAAATGCCCATGGAATAAAACTGAAGATCACTAGTCGCATATCTGCCAGACGTTATTAGCAGCAGGCATGTCTTTATGTAGCAAATCTGATGGCCAAACTGGACATTAGGCCCTCACGCAGGCTCTGGAACTTATGGATGCTCGCCGACGTGTTCCGATAGAAAGTGAATACAATGAGAGTCACAAATTGCTCAGGACGCAATTACGTACTAGCCTGAAGAGAGACCGCGAAGCCCAGTGGTCTCCTCGTGCCTCCGAGATGGAGACAGCCGCTGTCCTTGGTAACCATCGTAAATTATTCCGTCTGATACGGAAAATCGGCAGCAAAAAACATGGTGTTAGCGAGACCATATGCGACAAGAGTGGACAGCCAATGCACAGCTTGTCAAAGCGCTTGGAGCGTTGGGTCGGACACTTGGAGGAGCAGTTTAACCAGTCAAACTGCCAGCTTCTCCATCGACCAATAAGCACCCTACACGCTGGACCGTCCCCTTGGATTTGCCCACACGAGCAGAAATCGAAGATGAGATCAGATGGCTAAAATTGGACAAGGCCGCCGCAGCCGATGGTATTCATCCAGCACTCTTCAAATTTGGGAGACCTGCTCTTTTGGACGATTTACATAACTTATTAGTGAATCTATGGGAGCAGGAGACTGTCCCCACAGACTGGAGCCGCTCCGTCGTAGTCCCAATTTCCAAGGGAGCCTCCCGTTCAAAATGCGACAGTCATAGAGGAAGTAGTCTTATTGCCACGGTCTCAAAGTTACTTACGTCCGTCGTCCTCCATAGACTGACTGGCACCCATGAAAGCCAGATGCGCGAGGAGCAAGCTGGGTTTCGTAGAAATCGAGGCTGCATTGGCCACATCAGTTGTTGGAGTAATAAAAATAATAATAATAAATAATAATAATAATAATAATAAAAATGTGTCAGCTTTACGCCACAACGGCGCTTCGCTACCTGCGACCACCACCAGTCGTACGCCGGCTGAGTATAGCGCGAGGACGTCCACCCCTACGTGGATTCGAACCCGCGCCACAAGATTACGAGACAAACTCGTTACCTCTAAGCTACGGGCCGGCTATCCACAGATATCAAATGGGCCTTTTATTCGGTTGCTCGATGTGTCTTTTGGACAGTCTGCAAAGGAAATGTGTGCTCCATAAATACGTAAATGTTATAAGAGTGTAGTACGCGGATAGTTTGGGCAAACTTTCGCCCACTTCAAGATTTCCCGCTGTCACCTTTCCTCTTTGACTTCGCCATTGGCGAAGTCATGCAAGCAACGATCGCCGGGTACGACTTAGGAGTGGAGCTGCTCCCACGTGAAGGAGTTTTTGACGGAGTATGCCGACAACATTGCGCTCATCTGTGACAGCTCACAAACGGGCCCAGCTGCACTGAATAGCTGAATTAGCTCTGGTTGTCAGTCGTTTCGCGCTATGTTTTAGACCGCTGAAATGCAAAATCTTCAAACATTGGCAGGGATCCACTCCTGTGCTGACCCTTGGCGCTGATCAGACAGAAGTCGTCCAGAAATTTAAGTACATGGGCAGTTATCCTAGCGCTTGGGAGATGGAAGATGAAGTCACGAAACGTATAGCAAAATTTTGAGGCACTTTTGCCAACCTCCGTTACCTGTGGCGCCAGAGTGACATCAATCTCGCTCTGAAGGGCAGTTTACTATGCAACCGTCCGTACAACCCTCCTGTACGGTTGCGAAACCTGGCTCATCATAAAGAAGCTAGTTACATTCGATCACCGCTGCATTTGCACCTTAGCTCATGGGAGCAATGAGTGTGTTCGGCATCGTGTTTTGGTACAGGAAGAGCGAATGAACCACTTAGCAGCATTATATCACGCACTATGCTTCGATTGCCGGGCCACGTGCTGTGCATGCCAGCACACTAACTCCCGCGACGTGCGTTGTTTGCGCGCTGGGATGTGGACGGAAGATAGGAGGGGAGATCATGCGATGACTTAGCCAAGAGAAATGAAGTCCCTCACTTCGAAGTTGGCTTCGGTTGGTGTTTCCCGACTTAAGGGTTGGGGTACGAAGGACAATGAACACGTCTGGTTGGATACACTAACTGGCGAAGAGTCGATCTCAACGTTTATCTAGTGAGCCTCTTTGTCCCTCCCTTCCCCCTTAACTTCCCCCTCCAACCACGAGCATGTGATAGTTAACATTATGTTACTTTTCGGCTTCTTCAGTTTGCATTGCTTAATCTCTTATCCTTTTGCACTGCGTCACATTAACCGAGGTGTGTTTCTCACCGTCGGCTAACGTGTTTTGATGATGACGAGATGCGCCCACTGTCCCTGATGTACACGGTGGGAGAACTCATGACTTGTTGGGGCTTATGCGGGCGAGTTTCTGACAAATCACTGACCCACTTCGCTGGTACTACCATAGACGAATATCACCGACGCCTTCTCGTGGCAACCTCTGGGTGAGAGAAAGACTGCCCATTTTCTAGCTAAGAGCCAAGACAGATCCGCGTCAGTTGATTGGTTCATGACGCACTTCACGCAGCTGTTCGGGAATACGTTTCATAGAGAACTTTGACTGGGGATCCAAGTCGTTCTTCAATTTAGGTTTAGACGCCATGACAGTATATTAGCCCAAGTACAAATAATACACGACCCAAATACAGATAATCTCATGCTGCATCGGTCGTCGAGCAGTGAGGAGAAAGGACCGTCTTTTGATGCATACAGCGAAGTGGATAAGCAAAAATATGCTACAACTGAAGCCTCTTTTCTTTCTTCTCGCCCACAAATTTCCACGTTCAGTAACCACACTACACCTAACCCTTCCCACTCCAGTGATTGCTAGGTGCAATCGCATACCTCCGCGTAAAGCGCTCAAGATTCGATGCTGGAACGTGAGTGCACTCCTGGACCGGAACACCAGTCAGCAGGGTACTGCTCTGGTCGCCATGGAACTCAGTTGCTACAGCACTAATACTGGTGCCCATAGTGAGATTCGACTTAGCTGTCCAATGCAAGTCAAACGAGCGTGGATACCTGATGGAGGGAACGAGCAGCATTGATCCGCGTGCCGAAAGCGATATTTTTGTTAAGAGGCATAGGAAACGATAACAAAAAGAACGACCAATGAAAGTATGGTAAAATATATCTGGAGTGAAGTTGGATTCAAGTCTTACCTCCCGGAATTTTACGAGGAAAGACTTCAGTGGTTCGACATAATTGTCAAAACCCAACGAGTTCATTGCGCAAAGTATATCTTCCCCATTGATAGTTTTTCGTTTCTCGGTTTGGCAGCGCTCCGCGGCCCTTTAAGGAACACAACCAGCCAGTATTAAAAGTGGGTGAAAGGAGCAAAACTTACTCGCTGGTAATAAAGCTGATGAATTCAGACACACACTCTTGAACGCATTCTTTTGCGTCTTTTGCAATCTATAAACAGAAAACGGTGAGCCATACGCCAGCATTTATGTGAACTACCTTTCCGTTTCCGGGGACAGAACGCTTCATGATTTTGGCAACGTTAGCAATGGGCAAAAATCGGTCCTGTGTAGAAGGAAAATTAAAGTCAATACAAAGGATAACCGTCCGAGTAAGCAGTAAATGTGGAGTCCGTAACGAACGTTGACAACAACCACGGAAAAATCGCTTAGTATTGGACACACAATCATATCCCGATCAAAGTACAGCTGCTTGCTTGGTAGTAAAGCAAAAGAACAAAGGGTTGGTGATACATCTGTTCCATGTTTAAGTGAACACTAAATGAGGTGTTATGATCACACCAATGAGCAAGTTGTGACCAATTGGGATTCAGTGGACAGTAAAGCTGATGGTTGCAAGCACAGTATAGATCATCAGCTAATGAATACGTGGGAGCAAGGTATAACATCCAGATGTATGTTCAAACTAAAGATGATTGGGATAAGGAGACACTGTTTAAAATACATTGTGGGACAGTGATATGGAAAAATTGGAACTGTTCACTAAGAGATATTTCTGTACAGGCTTTAGACAGTACAACTAAAGACGTCATCATCATCACCTGACTTAGTGCCATGATTAATTCACGCAAATCAGCTGCATAGGCTGGTTGGATGAGATGACTTCATGAGCCAACGGTAGGTGGTAGGACGAGGAGCTCGTTGCACTAGTTAAATTTCTGACCTGGCTACGGAAAGCTGAGGATCAGTAGTGAACATGCCGCAAGATGCACCCTAGGGGATATCTGATGAAGATAACTTGAAATGAGCTTCTAATGCATCAAGCGGACGTATTAAAAACGGAGCTATCCACTTCATTTGATGCGCTAAAACTGCAAGGAAGGAGCTCGCAGTGTAACACTGTCTTTTCAGTGTCTCAATAAGGATAATGCAGATCACAAACCCCAGTGTAAGACTAAAGCATTCCAACTGAGGGTTTGAGGTGAAGAACCGTGCAAAATTGGCTGACGTTGGCCTGACGACGAGCTGTCAGCATTAATAGTAGCAGTAACGACAGTAATATCAACACGCCTAGCGAAAATTCACTCACCTGTTCCCGCAAAGGAGAACGCTGCTCGATTTCGCCCGTCTGATATTCCACATCGTGATCTTGTAGTGAACCGTCAAGCCCCTCAAAATAGGACTGTTCATGGTAGCTGGAACCATCGCCTTGACTGTCGGGATTGTTATCCATTCGAACTCCGAAAGGCGGGACACGACTATAAAAAGTGGCGTCAAATTCTTAAATTCCAAATGTTAGCCGCATCAGATAATGGACTTACGTAAAGAAATGCCCAAGTGTAGTGAGTATCCGATATCCGAATAAGATATTCAACAGACAATATCGCGGAAAAGTGGGTCAATTGATAGTTCAATGGGGCTCCTTAAGCCAAGAACCAACGCCGGCCTCGAAAACAATCTAGGAAAGAAACGCAATATGAGCAGCCCGATTCTATGTGATAAAGGCTTAAGCAGATACGCGCAGTTGGGTAATGGACCACTACGAATCGAAATACTTATGCCCGTCACAGGTAAAATATAATGGACCCATATCGATGAGGCCCCAGTGAGAGCTCGTCCGTGAGCTGTGAGGAACTTGGCCACAAGCGATGCTTTATTTTTAAAAAACAGAATTATAAAGACTATGAACGATAAAGAAGTGCCAATGGGCAAATTTGACAGTATGTGATGCCATGTATGGTGGTGTAATGTTAGACAAAGAGGCAGCACAGTTCTGCGTGTGGGTTCCACATTGGATGTTACATGCTCTTACATTTTTGTTAGGCGAATAGGCGACGGCACATGAGTATAAAGCATATCGTTTGTTAGTCACAGCTAAGGAGTTGGAAAGCATGTTTGCATCAGGACGGCGCTGATGGCTGTGTCGCCGCACAGATCGACCCTAAAGTGATGCCTCCACGTTGTGGAAGAGATCGATAATACATAGTTGGCGGCATCCGGTTCCGGATTTGCCTGTCAGTGCGGCCTCCATAGGACAGCCACAGGACGCCTGCGCCTACAGAGCGACCATGAGTGGCATGCGCTGCACTGCCCATAGTTCCATCCACACACACCATATCCAGTGTAAACCAGAAGGAATAAGACTAAGAGGCATGTGGATAGGAGCCAGGTTTCAGCAACGGAGTCAAACCAAACTCCTTCAACAAGCACAGCAGCAGCATTTCTGTCTATCTAATTTGGGGAACCATGCGTACTAGACGTACACAAGGCGGTGGCCGTTCCACAATAGGTAGATAGAAAAACTCTTTGAGCCTAGCACCCCATGCATCCCATCTTTTCAAGCATCGGCCAGCCGCATTTTTGGAGCCAGTTTAATTGAGGCTGCGGTTTTTCAACAGGTAGGCACCATGTCAACATTCACATCAAGCGCAGCCACACCGAGAATATCAAACAAGCGACACAATTCCAAGGAAAAGCTCGCAAAATTGACATGGAATATGCAGTAAAATAACAGAACTGAGCAAATCAGTTAGGACAAGCACCTATTAAGGAATGGATCAATGAACCCTAACTGGATCAAATTCCAAGCTTTTTCAAAGAAGCAAGTGGAAGAATCGCATTGGTCGATCATAAGAACGTCTTCAGACAATCTAATTCTATTCTTGGTAAGTAAAGAATAGGAGAGAGCACAGAAGGTTCAAGGTCAGTAAGAACACACAAAAAGCAGTAGTTTGCACCATGCAATTGTCTAGTGTCTGGCGGCTATTACACCGTTGTTGAACGGCTAATTGGAGTGGACACGCTTTCTCGAACAGCCACGCAGAGCAGCCCGTGTGACCTTGGTGACCGCAACAACTAGCAATGGAGAATTTTTGATTGGAGAACCCGAAAATGCCGTTTTCAGTAGAGGAGCTTACTACAATAGTTCAACATCAACAGAAGCAAATTTAAGAAAGCCAGACATGATTGCTCGAGAACAACTTTCCGCGTTTTGCGATGTAAGCAGAGCAAAACAACGAAAAACAGCAGTCATCAGCGAAAGCAGTCGCTAACAGTATCTGTGGGTTTCAATATGACCCGGATGCCAGCGTGATCGTCGAATCGTGGTTCAGAAGATACGAAGACGTACTCCGATCTGAATTCGCTGATGCTGACGAAGGATGTAAGTGCGGAGTGCTTTTGCTGTAGCTGGGAACCAATAAGCTAGACAAGTCTCTTAACATTAGTTTGCCAAAATGCCCTGGAAATTTTACATTCGACCAAGTTTACCTCTGTTAAATGACATTTCTGGTGAACACTTTTCCTTATTCAGCTGCATGAAGCCCATTAAATGCATATCAGACGATTTCCTAAGTTACAGGAATATGGTCAATCGTCACTGAGAGCTTTACAAACTAAAAGAAATGACAGATGATCAGTTCAAGGTTTTAATTTTCGTTTGTGGTCTCCAGGCGCCAAAGGATGCCGAAATAGAGCATGGGGCTACTAAGCAACATTGAGCAGGACCTATCCATCGCATACGAATGCCAGAGGGTATTTAAATTTAATCACGACAATAACCTGATTGTCCAAGACCGCAGTGCATGTCTTGTAGTTGTGCTGGCGGTGTCAAACCAGCGCGGAAGTCTGGCGAAGGTCTTAAACTCGATGAAACCAAACGGACCACCATTCGCATGCTGGCAATGTGGGTAACATTGCCCGTTCAAGAAGCATCTTTCACATAAATACAGCAAACAAGGTTACAAGGAGGATCACTGTCGTGCAGCTGCTTGCAACAATAACATAGCCAACAAACCTTCCAAAAAGCTTGTACCCACCTCTCTAACAAAACAGGGATCTCAGCTTCATCTTGTTGTTGCTACCTTCGACACAGAGGTCGCGAAACGTAGATTGGTCACGGCCTTTGTGAACCAAATGCCCGTACGCCTTCAAGTTGACATGTCCTCAGATATCAGGGTCATATATGAGCAAAATAGGTATAAAATCGGTGAAGCACCTGTTTAAAGAACAACCCGAATTGCTACCACTGCTTCAGGAGCACCGCTGAACTTCGCCGGTAAAATTTTTTGCGCCGTAATGTTTAAAGATTTTCAGCTCGAAGAGGTTTGCTACGTAACAAGACACCCAGATCTGAACCTACAAGCTGTCGACTGGATTGACAATACGAAATTGTTTAGTGTCTCCTTGAATTCCTTGCGTAACAAAGTAAGCAAACACGGCTGTGAATTGGACAAAGATTCTACATAGGAAACTTCCGCAGGTGTTTCAGGATGGTCTGGGATTGTGCAAAATAACTAAGGCCAATTTATCCCTACGGCCAGACGCGAAGCCAGTCTTCCGACCGAAGTCACCGGTTCCATATGCAACCGTTTCAATTGTCGACCAAGGAATTTACAAGTTACAGTCAACCGGTTATCAAACCGATCAATTACTCATCATGGGCAGCCCCCATTGCGACTGAGAAGAAGCCAAAGGGAAAGATCGGCCTATGTGCAGATTACTTTAGAGGCCTGAATGCTGCTTTAGAAGACCACAAAAGTGCCTTCTACCCTTTCCTGAAAACCTTTTTGTAAGTCTGAACGTTGCCATGTGTTTTTGCAAGCTGGACTAGTCTGACGCATATCTCCAGATTGGAATGTTGGGGGAATCACGGGAGTTGCTAAAGATTATCACCCACAGAGGACTATTCTAGTATACACGCCTACCATTTGGCGTAAAGTCGGCCCCAGCAATCTTTTAGCAAACCATGGATACGATGATATAGGGAATACCATATCCACTGCATACCTGGACGATGTCATTATCATGGGATCTGAGAGGGAAGAAATGCATCAGTGGACAGAACACGTGCTTGACAGGATAAATGAGTCTGAATTTCGCGTAAGAATGTACGACTGTGAGTTCTTCACGAACGCCTGTGAATATTTCGGTTTTTGATTAATCAAAATGGATGATGATCTGATCCATCAAGAACATGCCTCCATCTAAAGTCGTAGCGACGTTGGGATCATTCATGGTTATGGTGAGTTACTACAGGACCTACCTACCTACGGTCCGTGCACGAACTACGCGGCCCGTTGAACCGATTACTGATGAAGGATGTTACGTGGATCTGGACCACTGAATGTCAGGAAGCTTTCGACAGGATCAAGTTGTCACTAAGTTCAGAACTAACGCTAACGTACTATGATCCAAAACTGCCAATCGTCGTGGCATCTGATGCAACAAGCTGAGGACTTACAGCAGTCATCTCCCACATTTTCCTAGACAAGTCTGAGAAGCCAATCGCTCATACCGCTCATTCGCTGACAGAAGCAGAAAGAAAGTATAGCCAAATTGAGAAGAAAGCTCTCTATTGTGTTTGCAGTGAAGCTTTTCCACAAAATACTATATGACCATCACCTTACCTAGCTAACGGATCACAAACGGTTTCTTACTATATTTGGCTCAAGGTAAGGAATCCCAGTAGATACGGCCAATCGTCTGCAAAGATGGGTGACAACATTGCAGGGATATAACTTTTAGATCAAATATCGACCAAGCGACATTTATCAGGTCGAGGCTCCACCACAACTTTTGGACGAACAGCATCAGCCAGAAGACAAGGTCCTTGCTAATGTCTCAATGGAAGCAGAAGTCAACCGTGTGCTTTCCGATACTGTGAGCCAATCAGATTCCAGACGCCACTTTACAAGACCCGTTACTGTCCAAAGGTGAACACGTTTTAGCATTCACAGCGGTCACGAAAGATTTCGGAGGCACGGCGACAACAATCGTTCAAGAGACGAAAATGCATAACCGGTTGCCCAAGACTGTATCCTGATTGGTGAACCGTCGTCATCCCAGCCGAACTTTAAATCAAATTTCTACAACAATTTGGTATCAGACATCCCGGTTCCAACAGGATGAAGGCTCTATCGATGAGGTATGTGTACTGGTCATTTATAGATTCGCAAGTTGGGGAGTTAACACGTTCGTGCTCAAAGTATGCTCTGGCTGCGAAATCGCCGTGGAAATGGGAATTGTTCTCTTGGCCGATGCCCACGAAACCATGGACAAGAGTTCATCTTGATTTCGCAAAGCCGATCAAAGGACAGAAATACTTACTTGTCATTGATGAATACAGCAAGTGGCCAGATATCTTTCAAATGCCGAACACTTTAACACCGGCCGCGATCACAACCCTCAAGGAAGTATTCGATCGGTTCGGCTTTTCGGAAACACTAGTATCCGACGATGGACCTCAGTTTCTTCACCATTGCTGAATTTTGTGCATTACTTGGCATGGAGCATGTGAGCTCACCTCATCATCCACAGTCCAAAAGAATAGGCTGTAAGATTTGTGGTTACATTCAAGAGAACTCTGCTCAAAATCTGAAGGAGAGGGACCAATTCAAAAGGTCCTAGACTTTTCTGCTGACATACAGAGGTAAGCCTAATTCCGCATGCCTGACGGAAA